AGCCTACCTGGGTCAACATGTCAACCATTATGGAAATGATATTAAACGCCACGGAACGTCAACGGTTGGATGACCTATTGAATACCACCACTCCCGCGGCGCCCGTTCCCCAACGCACGCCTATTACAACGACAGCACCGGCAGGACAGGCTGAGCCCAGATTTGAGATAAATAAAGCAATTAATGTGACGACAACTACCACTCCAGCGGATGATACGACAGTAATTGCCGACAACGAGGACTCGGATGACTCGCAAACTACCACCAAATCAAGAGTAATCCCCACAACCACCAGGACTACTAGGGTTCCGGTTATTACCGGCCCAAAAACTGGTGCCAAACCTGTTGTTAAGACAACTCACGCCACCACTACCATAACCACCAATACTACAACACCTAACCCTGGTTGAAATGTATAGCCTATCATAAAATAAATTTTAAAAATATAGTTATGTTCATTAAAATAAGTGTATATTAATAGTTATTTTGCTTGCAATTAAGTATGAAATTAGTGCAAATCAAACACATATTTTATTACAAATAAGTGCTAATTATGTTTATAAAAACATGTCTGTGCCTAAAAATCGATATAATAATAACTATTGACTTTTACTTGAAAAAGGTTGAGATTATCACTAATATCGATAACATTTTAAACATTAAAAGTGCGATAAAAGTGAAAATTATCGCACATTTTGTGCCTAATTTGCACATTTACACCAATTTTAAAAATAAAAAATTTTGATTCCACAACAAAAAATCGGCTGTAAATACATTGCATGAAATGCAAGGCCCCGACACCTCGTCCGACGTCTGGCCCGGCCTATAGACAACCAATCGTAGGCCGGCATTGAGTACTCGTTTCTAATCACGCGCTGTACTCAATCGCATAGAGACTTACAGCGCATATGCACTGTAACGCCGGATATGTCTGTATATAATATCGGAATAAACGGTGTGTTTATGAGATATAGTATTAATACAACACACTATCTGTGAGTCGGAATAGGAATTATAGATATGGATGAGGGAAAGGGGTGTCCAGGGGTTGGGGGTGTCTATGCAATAAATTTATAGGTAACCCATGTGCTACATGCACTTGAATTAAGGCCGACCTTAGAGTACTGTCCTTTTCTATGCATTATTATAAACGTGATATACATGTGATTATCACTCCGTTAGCACTCAATTAGGACTATTTGAATCCGTGTGTAGTTATGGGGAATGGGATCTGAAGATTAAATTGAATTAGTAGTGTTATGTTTTAATAGACAATAAGGTTTGTGATGAAAATGAAAAGTTTTGTCACTGGTTTCACGTGCTAACCCAACCGTTCATGTCTATTAAGGACATGGAGATACGGTAGTTATGTGCGAGGGGTAGGGCTGCTTGAGATATATGGTACACTGAAAGTACTATTAAAAGTTTTTTTTGTGTGACTTATATTAATGGCTGTAAGATATGAAAGTTTTTGTGTGTCTCGAGTTTCTTATCGTAGAAATTATTAGGTTTTTTGTTTCACATGTATTTCATATATTATATTATAAATACTCGTGAATTGTATGGAAATTTTATGCATACTTTTAAATGATGTGTAAATAGTTTTTAAATTTAATAGTATTTAAATTTTGTTATACGTATGCCTGATTTGTAATTTTGTAATAATAAATATCAATGGTTTATTTATTAGGTTAATTAAAATTTATATTAAAATAAAGCGAATAAAAATCAAATTAATAATTTGCTGAATTATAAAAATAATTTAAAAATTTTGCTAAATAAACAAGCTTGAAAAACAATAGAAATAGATAAATAATAATTATATAAGCATTTAATGAACCGTATTAATTAAGTATAAATATTTATATATTTACTATTATTATAGATATTTATAAAAATTAGATTCACATAAAAATGTTTTAATCTTTATTTTGCTAATTCATTGACATTACATTAGGAAATAAAATTTTGCTGATCATTTTGAAAATGATATTTTACATTACGAGTGCATTTATAATAAAATTTTATACATAATATTTTGATTGCTATTAAATCATGTTGTTAGCACGATTCATAAATATGCAAATTATTTTTCACAACTACTACTTAATACACGTTATCACATATAAATAGCTAATAAAGATATTTTAATTATTTATATAAATAATGTATTAGTTATAAATTTAAATCTCTACCCATATATGGTTAACTATTTATGTCTAGTGGGGGTTTATATTTGATAAATGGTAGCGAGTGGGTGTGGGGAGTTAAACACGGTGTCACACATATTGTGATTAGTTAACAAAAAAAATTATTAACAAATGGCACAAAAACTTAATCTTAAAATAAAACAATTTATTTATAGCAAAATTAAATGATTTTTGTAAATAACTATATTTAACACTTGTTTTATTACAACATTTTTATTCATTTATATTTGTGTGTTGCTTATAACCAGTAATCATAAATTGTATTTTGAATTATTATTAACACATAATATAAAACTATATTCAACTCGTGGTGATGGACAGGTAGGCCTAACAAAAGTATATAAGTGAATGGATTATATATATATAATAAATGCATAAATATATTTTTAACTCTAACATTACATGATTTAAAACAATTTCATTCATTAATATAACAAAACAATGATTTTTTTATATAATTAATTATATTTTGCAATAACCTTTTAACTGCAATATTGTATAAATAAAAACAAATTTAAAAAATATTTATATGACATAAAAATTACAATTAATTTTGCTTTCAGTAATACTGCTGTAAATTGTGATCATTACACTCCCCCCCCCCTCCAGAGGTACGTGTGTTTAGCCAGGGGTGGGGTAGGTTATCCCCATAAATTAACGTACGAGTCCTGGTGCGGGGCATTATCGTTAGCATAGTTGTATTCAGTGGTAGTATCGGTGCCATTAGTGGTGGGCTTAGTGGTGGTGGTGGTGGTGTCCTCGTACTCGGAGTACTCGACGGCACCGGTAGTAGGGTTAGGTGTTGTAGTATTGGTGGTTATGGTAGTGGTGGCGTGAGTTGTCTTAACAACAGGTTTGGCACCAGTTTTTGGACCGGTAGTAACCGGAACCCTAGTAGTCCTGGTGGTTGTGGGGATTACTCTTGATTTGGTGGTAGTTTGCGAGTCATCCGAGTCCTCGTTGTCGGCAATTACTGTCGTATCATCCGCTGGAGTGGTGGTTGTCGTCACATTAATTGCTTTATTTATCTCAAATCTGGGCTCAGCCTGTCCTGCCGGTGCTGTCGTTGTAATAGGCGTGCGTTGGGGAACGGGTGCCACGGGAGTGGTGGTATTCAATAGGTCATCCAACCGTTGACGATCCGTGGCGTTTAATATCATTTCCATAATGGTTGACATGTTGACCCAGGTAGGCTCTGTCGTTACTACCGGTGCTACAGTAGTTGTGGGCACTTTGTGGGCACCGGGTGGCAAGGGAGTGGTGGTATTTATCCAGTCTGCCCGGATGCCCGTCGTGTTGAATATCATTTCCACGGCTGTCGACATATTAACCCAGGTGGGCTCTGTCTGTACTACCGGTGCTGCAGTGGTGGTGGATACATTTTTGGCACCGGGTGGAAACGGAGTTGTGACATTATGCATGGTATCCCATACCTCCCCAGGGTCTGTCGTATTAAATAACGTTTGCAAAGTCTCCGATATATTGGCATATCTGGGCTCAAATGGCGATACACTAGTGGTGGACGTATTGCTGGTATCGGATGTCAACTCCTTTACTACCGGTGCTCTGGTGGTGGTTGTCATCCTATGGGTAATGACAGTCGACAGATTAATCTTCGGATTTATTATCGTGTTATTAGTCATCCCTTTCGGCGGCGCTATTGTCGTGGAAAACACAGAATATTCCGTAAAATTCTTGACTTTACTATCACTAACACTACCGCTACTGGTACTACCGCTACTGATAATACTACCGGTGCTGGTGTTGGTGGGGTTGGCACAGCACGACTGGTGAGCAAACTTTTCGATGTATATAATAAAGGCGACGCTGACGGCGATCCCCAGTAGGGACACCAGTATGAGTGCCCACACAAACAGCCGCAACATAGTCTTACAGCACTGGCCGGAGTGGGGGTCGGCACCAACAGCGCCTCCATTTTGCTTATGATCGCGGGTTAGGTCCATGTCGTAAGACAGGTGCGGTTCGTAGCGCCCGTACGAGCCGGACCGGTGTATCGACGGTAACGGTAGCGTAGATCCCTGGCCCGGGCCAGACATGCTTATAGTCTCTGGTGTGCTGGTGGTACGGGTGGTGTCGGTGGACGGGCTGTAGTTGTTGAACTCATACACCCAGGAGCTGGCTATAGAGCCGTTGCCGTTCCGGTGCAGGCTATGGGACGGGTAATAGTTGGCCCGGTAGTCGTCGTCCTGTGTTAAGCGCGGCTGATTGGGCCGGAAGTAGTATCCCTGGTGTGGAGGTACCGGTGGTCTCGACTGGTGGTTAAGGCTGTGGGTATGATGGGTGGTGTCGCCGTCAGTGGTGCCCAAAAACGCCGGGTTTATGACACCGTTATTCTCGTGGAAGTCATAGCTGTCAATAATAGGCGTTTCCTATCGAGGGTTAGGTATTAAACATATTGTAAAAACTTTTTTAATGAAACAATTTATGGTATAGTTATGTATAGTATGTTAAAGTGTGTGGAAAATAATACCTCAAAAAAGTTTTTGTACTAAATGTTTGTATCAAACATTGGTTTTTAGTTTTTGGTTAAACTTTTTTGGTTTGTTTTGTAGTCAAGTATTAGTTTTACTATTAAATAACATACGATATTATATTTAAGGAAAATAAATGTATAATAAAAGTATTAAATTTTCTGTTAGTAATCAATAGTTTGTATCAAATTTTATATGAAGTTATATAACACTTACGACTATTTGTATTGTGTTTTTAGTCTTCATTATGTGGTTTGCATTTCCAGCACAAGTGATAATAAAAAATGAAATTGCAATAAATATATTAATAATAATTTATAAATTCACTAATAAATAACACTACGCATTCATTAACATTACGTAAAGTAAAACATTTCAAACAATATGTAGAAAAATGTACAAAAAATATATAATATATTTATATATCAATAGTATAGACACTGATTAAACACAGGGCTGAGAGTCAAATGACACGAAAATATACATCGATTTCATTGTGTATATAAAGTTCAGGCATTTTTCATAACATTTATAATCGATTGAGTTATTGAATCCGAAATGAATGGGGAATTCACTGGAAATTGACGTGAAGTTAGTTTTTTAGTTGAAATCAACAAAAATAAAAGTTGCTATTTTTGATGATAATTACTGAATACTAAATAATTGTTTGGTTATATTAATGATAGTCCAATGGTGAGTTGATGTATTAAATACTGGTATAGCAAGTGAATAATTTTGCTAAGAATTTATGTTAGCATTGAATATATGATTAAGTTTTCAATAACTTTTTAGTTAGTATTCATTAGTAGTAGGAATATAATTATGAGATGTTTTTATGAGTGATAAGTAGTTGAGATTGCAATCAAGTATACAGTGAAAGGGAAATGTATGAAAATATTTTGTATTTCATTATGAA